CATCTTTTAACTCTAGACGGTTAGTACACATGGTTTTATATGCCCTGCTGTTCATTTTACCTGGATTTTGTGCAAATAAATGTTTACCAACTTACTACACTATGGGCATCCTTTTGCTTTGACTCCCCCGAGGAGTTTTTAATTCACAGCGATCCTAACATCCAGAGAGGGAGCCTCCACTAGACACAGAAGACTGTACCCACCTATCCCATAAAAGGGAACTCTGGAAGATCCTGATATTGACGAGTCCATTCCTCAGAATCCATCCACCCATAGATGAAAGGCTTAGGATTCCTGCTATCATCCCATGATGACCATTAGATGACATCAAATCATTACTAATGCGCATTTACATGCGTTCTGGTGAGTGCGCATTGCTTATACACTTATATGCACGTCCACCGGGCCCAGGAAGACGCATTATTTTCTGAGCACTTTACTCACCTTATGAACTTTCAACAGCAATTGATGTTTATGTCCATTTTATGTTGGTTCATCTATAGACTATTTCTATGATTTTAGCGCCGCACTTTATCTTGTTTTATTTATCGAAGGTTTTGCTTGGTTACCTTGTGCTTGGCTGCTTTTTTATTTTATTTTTTCCATCACTCATTATCTTGCTTACTCAGTACCTTTAGGCGCTCACATTTGCCCATACTTCCTGTAATATAAAGGAATAGTAGAGGTCAAAAAAACTACTTGTGGGTTTAACGAACAATTTTTTTTGTGTTATTCTCCTTTAAGGGGGCATGGCGGGGGGGCGTGTCCTATACCTACATACTTTTGCTAATAGGTGTCCCTCGTTCCCATCTCAGAAAGTTGGGAGGTATAGCTTTGCCATGGGTCCATTCTTACAGTGTGGATTAACCCCCACTTTTCCATTAAATCTCTAGCATGCAGTATGTCAACCCTTGCCTTGCTGTGGGATCAGCATTTTTGGGTGAATTAACCCTTGCCTAACTGTAATCTTGCTCTGATGGTACCGATTGACCTTTGCCTTGCTGTGGGCTCACTGTTCAATCATGAGAGCAATACTGACCTTGCACTGCACTGCAGAGTTAGGTTCTCTTTGTGTTTGGGCAACATCATACTATGAACCTTCATCTTCTGGTAGAATGACCATTATACTATGCATTAACCTTTCCCTTGCAGTGAGTTCAACTGTTATACATAACCCTAGCTGTACGAAGACTCTATAATGAAGTGAACTAACCCTTGCCTATTGTGATGTCACTCTAATGTTCTAGGTTGGCACAGCTCCCCATTGCACACAATGCAATTCCATCCCACACCTCTGTGTGGATGGATTGATGTGTGGCAAGGTTGGTTTTGGTGGTGAAACATCTCCTGCACACGGCACATGGGAAGGACCTTTTACCAGTGTGTTCTCACGCATGTTGGATGAGTTTTTTTATTTCACTGGAAAAGTGGTGCCCGTAGCGAAAAAGAAAGAAAGAGAAAATAGTGGAAGGTAGACACACTAGGTGAAGAGGGATAGGAAAGAAAGGAAAGGGTTAAGTAAAAGGTGGGATGTTGGGGAACGTGTAGGTTACCTGATTGGCGATGGTGTGTGGGGAGGGGGTCTTTGACACCTTGGGGAGTGGGGGGGTCAACAATTCCAGTGCAGGAGTTGCAGCGGTGGAGCAAGCTTCCCTCCCACCCTCCCTTGGGGTTTGTTTTGGTTTGCTCAGTTCCTGGTTTGTTCGTGCTCTGGGGGCGGTTGTTGGTTTTTGGAGGCGGCATGGTTGGGACCCATTGGTGGTATGGTGTGCCTGGGTGCATTCCGGTTAACGGAGGTTTAACTGGAAGGTAGAGGTTCTGCACTGCGGATGGTGTGTTTTGTCTCTGAGCCGGTGCGTCTGGAGGCCTAGTATTAATAATATGGTTAAGGTTCCGCAGGGGGATATCGGTGTTTGTTTGGTGCCTTCTAAGACCAACAACTTCTCCTGTATGTTTCTGTTTTAAGGAATGTTTTGGTGTTATTGAAGTCGAATTGTTAATAAAAGGCCATGTTGGCCATTTTACTCCAATGGTGTTTTTTTGGGCCTTCTTTATTGGTATGTATAAGGGGGGGGGTATATCGAGGTGTAGGGGTCTTAACTAGCACATCTCTTTTACATTAGTCATGGTTTCCGGCAATCCAAACATGAACAAGGCTTCCTTACACGCTCCGAAGACATGCTGGTAGGTTAATCGAGTGCAACCAACATGGCTGCACCACCTCCTAAGAGACTCAAGGGAGAAAATCGGTATGGAACGTTAAAGTCTCCAGATATCCTGTAATATTTGTCAGATTTAAGGCAAAACCAATACAATATCGGACTCTAAGCCTTTTCATGAAACTAAGCAAAAGTGGAGAACTGCACGCCCAAAGAGAATCCTGGTTTCATTTTCCAGAGGGAGAAAAAGGTGTCATTTTATAGGGCAAAAGTGTACTTCTCTGCTAAAGATTGAAACATTAGATCTCTATCTATTAGTATCTATTGAGTTTCTGGTGGGACTATAAAGTGGACTTAAATCTTTTTAATTTTTTTATTTTGTTTACGGAGCTGTGAACAGAAAAGTGAACTGTGAGATGGCAGCATGCAAAGTAGTGCATTGAGATACAGCAAATGTTCTGTCTTCCAAAGAAGAAGGGCCTTAGTGCCTGAACCCCCAAGGGTGCAAGGCTCCTGACAGGGACAAGGTATACTTAGGTCTATCTAGTCTGAAGCCAGGTGGACCCCGTTTTCTTAGGGACCAGCCAAAGTCAGTGCACCAAGTACTTGGTGGAGGGCTTTCCCAAAGAGAGACCCCCCCAGTTGGAAAGAGGAAAAAGACCTGAAGGCCAGAGAGCCTCTCCCCAACATCAGAACAGGCTCTGATATCCTGCACTCCTTAGGAACAAGCCAAAGCCAGTCCACCAAGTATTTGGTAGGGGTTTTCCTAAGAAGAAACCCCTCCCCCCGTTGGGAAGAAGAAAATGACCCGAAGGCCACAGATCCTCTCCCCATCATCAGGGCAGGCTCCGACTTCTTGCACTCCTTAGCAACAAGCAAAGCCAGTCCACCAAGTACTTGGTGGTTGTTCTCCTGAAGAGAGACCCCCTGGTTGGGTAAAGGAAAATGACCCGAAGGCCACAGATCTTCTCCTCGACATCAGGGCAGGCTCTGATATACTTCACTCCTTACTTGGTGGAGGGCTTTCCCGAAGAGAGACCACCTCCCCCCCCCAGTTGGGAAGAGGAAAAAAGCCTTAGAGCCTCTCCCCGACATCAGGGCAGGCTCTGACATCCTGCACTCCTTAGGAACAAGCCCAAACTAGTCCACCAAGTACTTGGTGTGGGGCTTTCCCGAAAAGAGACCCCCCTGGTTGGAAAGAGGAAAATGAGACCCAAATGGCACAGATCCTCCCCCCATCAACAGGGCAGGTCCAGATATCCTGCACTCCTTAGGGACAAGCCAAAGTCAGTTCATTAAGTGCTTGGTGCAAAGGGAAACCCCATTAATTGGGAAGAGGAAATAGATATGAAGGCCACAGATCCTTTCCCCAACATCAGGGCAGGCTCTAATATAATGCAATCCTTAGGAACAAGCCAAAGCCAGTCCACCAAGTACTTGGTGGGTGTACTCCTGAAGAGAGACTCTCCTGGTTGAGAAGAACGAAATGGCCCGAAGGCTACAGATCTTCTCCCCATCATCAGGGCAGGTCCCAATATCCTGCACCATCCTTTGTCAGAAAAAAAAACAACAAACCATATGCAGTGCAAGTGCCCATGATAAATAAGTGTGAAAAATATATAAAATGTGCCAAAGACACAAGACCAGTATATGGCCAGTATAAAAATGACTCTTGGACCAGTCACAAGGCCTGATAAAAGGCATTTTCAAGAAAAGCAATTAGTGATGTGTCCTAGTGCCAGTGAAAACACAGCGGGGGTCCCATTCGCATAGTGATTTTCTAGCACCCCTGGGACACCACCCCCATCCTAGCCCCTGACCAGACAAATCCAGCCACATTCCTACCACAAAGGCATTAGCGCTTAGGGAGAGTCCTGTCTTCAACCGGAGACAAGTCTGGTGCACCAGGCCAGATGCAACCCATGAGGAAAAGGATACCTCCTACCGTGCCCACCTTATTACATTCGGAAAATACTAACCGTTGTCCCCACCCAACAAAGAGCACTTAAAGTAGAACTAAAGGCAAAACATTTTTTCCTTTTTGATTGAGTGAAGGAGGGTTATAACCCTTGCCAGTCTTTTTTTGCCATCTGTGCCCCATTGGGGGGGATTTCCCTTTATTTCCTTTTCCATAGCCAAAACAGGAGGTGAGAGGAAACTTCTCCAAAGTGAGGAAATCCCTGGTTGTCACCAGGATAACCAGAGTTAGTAGGGTTATAGCCTTTGGCAGTCTTTTTGCCATCTGTGCCCCATTGAGGGGACTTCCCTTTACTTCCTTTTCCATAGCCAAAACAGGAGGTGAGAGGAAACTTCTCCAAAGTGAGGAAATCCCTGGTTGTCACCAGGATAACCAGAGCTAGTAGGGTTATAGCCCTTGTCAGTCTTTTTTTGCCATCTGTGCCCCATTGGGGGGGACTTCCCTTTACTTCCTTTTTCATAGCTAAAAACAGGAGGTGAGAGGAAATTTCTCCAAAGTGAGGAAATCCCTGGTTATCACCAGGATAACCAGAGCTAGTATCCCTATTGGAAGATTTGGAAGATCTTGTTCAAAGCACCTACTGAGGACCTATTACTGCATGAGAGTAGCCTGTCCTGTGCTCATGCATAAATCTACACTCTACTTTATATATTCTCCTTCACATTATGAGAATAAACCCACTATGGATCCAAGGTCTTCAACCCTTGCCTTCTCCTTCAACAAATACAGCACCTGTGGCAAGATCTGACCTCCTGTATTAAGCAGAAAGAACAGAGGCAGAGTTGGCTCAGCATTGAGGCAACACTTTATTAACATTAGTCTCTGCCTAAGCAAATACAAAATTTGGGATCGTTCTTCATCAGTCAATGAGTGTGACCTTCCTGGTGTTGACCAGGAAGAAACTTCCGGGGACACCTGCCACACTCCGAACAGGAAGATGTCTTCTCGCCCGTGTGAACTCTCTGATGGGCGACGAGATGAGCTTTCTGCGTGAAGCATTTCCTGCACTCGCCGCAGGAAAAAGGCTTTTCACCCGTGTGCGTTCTCTGGTGCCTCTGAAGATCTGACTTTTTGATGAAACTTTTGTAGCATTCGGAACAGGCATACGGCCGCTCCCCTGTGTGTATGCGCTGATGTATAGCAAGCTGTCCTTTTTCCAGGAAGCACCTTCCACACTCCGGACAGGAAAACGGCTTGTCTCCTCGGTGAAGGCGCTGATGTTTGACAAAGGCTGACCGCTGGAGGAAGCACTTTCCGCACTCCGAGCATGCAAATGGTTTCTCGCCTGTGTGAATCTTTTCGTGAATCCGTAAATAACATTTTAACGTAAAACTCTTCCCGCACTCTCCGCATGTGAAATCTTTGTCGCCGTTGTGAATCCGGAGATGTGTCAGAAGGGACGACTTCCTTGAGAAGCATTTCCCGCACTTAGAACACGGAAACGGTTTCTCTTCTGTGTGGATGGATTGATGTGTGGCAAGGTTGGTCTTGGTGGTGAAACATCTCCCGCACACAGCACAGGGGAAGGGCTTTTCACCAGTGTGGACTCTCAGATGTTGGATGAGTTTTGATTTCACTGGAAACCGTTTCCCACAATCAGAACACGAATAAGGCTTTTTCCCAGTGTGAGTCCTCCGGTGGTGGTTAAGTTCCTCTTGCTCCTCAAAGCTTTTCCCACAGTCTGAACATATAAATGAGATTATATCAGTGGCCATTTTTGGATCCTCAGCAATTTTTGATGCCCTTGAGAAACATTCACCCTTTTCCGTACGAAGACCAGGTTCATCCTTCTCGGACTTAAAGACGGGCCGTTCTTCGGGGATAGAGGGATCCAGTGATCTAGCTATGTTGTGAAGTCCTGGAGAAGCAGTTTTTAAGCTATTATAAGGAGATTTCTCCAGTTTAGAGGCATCTGGTGATCTGGCTTCACTGTGTCTTGTTGGGTGGACTACTGGGATAACACTTTGTGAGTTATCGGCAGAGGTTTCCTCAAGATTAGGTGACCTACCCGTAATATACAGTCCTGAACCTGGAGCTGGAGGAACACTATCTGCCTGATCTGAAAAAGATAACTCAAGATCTGTTGGACTTTCTTCACTGTGACATCCTGGATGGCTGTTTTGTGTAACGGGTTTTTCTCTTTGACAGTCTTGAGTTATGATGTTATCTTCTAGGTCACTGTCAAGGTGCCCATCTGAGGTTTATAAAAAAAAACAAAAACACTTTATTACATTTTAATAGAACTACAGCTACCCAATGGTTACCAGGAACCTGGTCACTGTCTTACGACATGACGTCATCACGCATCACACTTTATTACATTTTAATAGAGGTAACGACAGCTACCTAATGGTCTACCAGGATCTTGGTCATTGTCCTATTACCGGCTAAAAGCACTCCAAGTGTGGAAAAAGCTGTGCTTCATCAATGGCCCAGAACAATGATTAAATATAAGTAAAATCAAATTTCAGACAAAAGGCATAGAGCGTGGCTATGACATGACGTTATTGCACATCACACTTGATTACATTTTAGTAGAGGTAACTACAGCTACTCAATGGTCTACAAGGAATGTGGTCAATGTCCTATTACCGGCTAATAGCACTCTGTGGAAAAAGCTGTTCTTCATCAAAGCACCAAAACAATGGCTATACATAAGTAAAATAACATTTCCGACAAAATGCGTAGGGTGTGGCTATGACATGACGTCATCACGCATCACATTTTAATAGAGGTAACTACAGCTACTCAATGGTCTACCAGGAACGTGGTCAATGTCCTATTACCGGCTAATAGCACTCTAATTGTGGAAAAAAAGCTGTGCTTCATCAATGGACCAGAACAATGATTAAATATAAGTAAAATCAAAAGTGATTACTCACCTGTACTGATCTCTGGAAAAAGGTCTTCCTCTTTAATTGTCACCCTCACTTTAACTTTATCTATACAGCTTGGACTGCCTCTCACACACATCTCTTCTTCGTCATCTTTACCTTCAACTTTCACATCAGCCAACTCTTGAACCTAAACCCATAAAATAATAAAAAGTAAAATTTTTTAAAAAAAAGGGACTACATGTAATATTGGTTCACATTATCTCTAACGATCATACAACATGGAGACGATGAGATCCTACCTGATTGTGGAGAGGGATGGTGAGATCTTCCTGTGTGGAATCCCGGGAGTACAGAGGAGGAGGACATCTCTCTGGTGGGTTCCCATTACTGGATCCATTTACCTGATGATGGTGGGGGATGCTGTGATCTTCCTGTGTGGAATCCCGGGAATACAGAGGAGGAGGACATCTCTCTGGTGGGTTCCCTTTACTGGATCCATCTACCTGATGACAGTGAGGGGTGGTGGGCCCTTCCTGTGTGGAATCCCCGGAATACAGAGGACGGGGACATCTCTCTGGTGGGTTCCCATTACTGTATGCATCTGTAGGAAACACACACACTGACTGAATCCATTGTTTCTATGTGTTTATCAGATGATGGGGGATCTAGGTGGTGCTAATTCAGTGGTGGACAATCTAGGAGGGATCCCAAAACAAGCTGTTTACACATTGCTGGTTGCTAGAACTAATTTTCGATCTAGGTCTGGGGTCTCCAAGCTACGGCCAAACTGTCCCACAGGTAGGGTCAGGGTCACCCACAGAACATGATGTAAGTGGATCACCGATGGGGACCTTGATGTAAGGTGGAAATCTGATGTAAGGAGGGGCTCTGATGGAGAACCTAATTTTGAGGGGTCCTATGATATGGACTCTAGGGTAAGTACGGACTTTTACAGTGGATTTTAGAGTAGGCGGGCTCTGATAGGGACCATGATGTAAGGGGGACTTCATTTTACTAAGGTTCTTTATTTTATGTTTTGAATCATATAAAGCTGACTGCAAAAAAAAAAAAAAATAAAACTTATTAATTAGTTGTTCATTGATTAATTTTTTTTTTAGCCTGCAAATTTTTGGAAAAACCTACAATGTGGCCCTCATTGTGAAAAGTTTGGAGACCCCTTTCTCTAGAGCAAGGGTCTCCAAACTTTCTAAACAAAGGGCCAGTTTACTGTCCTTCAGACTGTATCAGGTCCGGACTGTGGCCAGTGGGAGTAGAAAAGGTCCCGATGTCAGTGAGAAAAAAATAATGCCCCTTTGTTTGGTGTCAGTGGGAAGACTTCTGCCCCATCATTGATGTCTTTGGACCCTATCATTTGTGTCACTGGGAGGAATTGTGCCTCATCATTGGTGTCATTGGAAGCAGTTGTGCCCCCTTCATTGGTGTAATTGGCGGAGATTATACCCAATTGGTATCAGTGGATAAAATAGTGCCCCAAGGGCCAGATAAAAGTAAGCAAAGGGCCGCATCTGGCCCCCGGGCAGCAGTTTGGAGATCACTGGTCTAGAGAGTACTGGCTGAATGCATTATTCCTATATTCTTGTGTGTTTATCAGATGGAGGATCCAAGTGGACCTTCAGATGAGAAAAGTTGACTTACAAGATGAAAAGATCTGCTGAGCCTCTGAGTTCTCTTCCTTATACAGATCCCTAGAATCTTCTATGTATTCCCAACCCTGTATCAAGAAATAATTATATATACTGTAGTCACCAAATTCTAAACATGTCTGTAACTGGATACTGTCCCAAAATTCCGAGTACCGCCTACCTCTCCTGTCAACAATTTAAGGATCCTATTGGTGACTTCAAGAATCTTCTTGTTGGTGTTACTCTGGGGTGTCAAGAAGTGGGATGGGTCCATGTTGATGGGATATTGTCCATCACCTGATGTTTTCTTGACCACCGCGTAGTCCTGCATATGGAAAAACAACATTTACTAAATTATTTCCCGGAAGATGTCTCTTTTTTTCCAGTCACGTTTGTATTTTAATAATGGGGTTGAAAGTGAACGCAAGTAACCTTCCCAGGATCCTTAATACTTCTCCGGTCAGGTCTGTGTTTTATTAATAAAGACAAGGGTTATGATATTTGACCTCCCAGAATCCTCCTCACCTCTCCGGTCAGGTCTGTGTGTTATTAGTAGAGATCAGAGTGATGTCAGGTGACCTCCCAGAATCCTCCTCACCTCTCCAGTCAGCAATATGTTTTATTATAAAGGGAAGGGAGTAATATCATGTGACCTCCCAGAATCCTACTCACCTCTCTGGTCAGGTCTGTGTGTTATTATTAAGAGTGAAGTCATGTGACCTCCCAGAATGCTCCTCACCTCTCTGGTCAGGTCTGTGTGCTATTATTAAGGGTGAAGTCATGAGACCTCCCAGAATGCTCCTCACTTCTCCGGTCGGCAATATGTTTTATTATAAACATCTAAACTCCTCGAGCGCCTCGTCTACACCCGCCTATGCTCTCGCCTCAAGGACAACAACCTCCTCGATCCCCTACAGTCTGGCTTCCATCCCCTACACTCCACCGAAACTGCCTTACTCAAACTCTCAAACGACCTTCTAACCGCCAAAGCTAATGGCCACTATTCAGTGCTCCTACTCCTTGACCTCTCTACGGCCTTCGACACAGTTGACCACCCCCTCCTCCTCAAAATACTACACTCCCTCGGCCTCAGAGATTCTGCTCTCTCCTGGCTCTCATCCTACCTGTCACAACGCTCTTTCAGCATTACCTATAATGCTACCACCTCCCCCTCACTCCCCTTCTCTGTTGGGGTCCCTCAAGGCTCTGTCCTTGGGCCCCTTCTCTTCTCCATCTACACCTCCTCCCTTGGCCAACTCATACACTCTCACGGCTTCAACTACCACCTCTATGCCGACGACACACAAATCTATCCCTCAACCCCCCACCTCACCCCCTCGGTCTCTGCCCGAATCACACACCTACTGAGCGACATATCAGATTGGATGTCGCTCCACTTCCTTAAACTGAATCTCTCCAAAACCGAGTTTCTTGTCTTCCCCCCAGCCTGAACCCCACCCCCCATTGACTTCTCCATCACATCCAACAACGCCAATATCAAACCCGCCCTGCAGGCCAGAGTACTTGGTGTCATTCTGGACTCCAACCTATCCTTCCAGCCCCAAGTCCAATCTTTAACAAACTCGTGCAGACTCCACCTACGCAACATCGCCAAAATACGCACGTTCCTAACCCCAGAAACCACTAAACAGCTCATCCACTCCCTCATCATATCACGACTCGACTACTGCAACTCCCTCCTCACTGGCCTGCCTCGCCGCTGGCTATCCCCGCTTCAGTCAATCCTGAATACGGCTTCCAGACTCATTCACCTTTCCAACCGCTCTGTTTCCGCCACCCCCCTCTGCCAATCCCTCCACTGGCTTCCGATTGCGCAACGGATCAAATTTAAAATCCTAACACTGACGTACAAAGCTGTCCACCATACTGCCCGAACTACATCACCGACCTAATATCCAAGTACCGCCCAGCACGCACACTCCGCTCCTCACAAGACCTCCTTCTCTCTAGTTCCCTGGTCTCCTCCTCCCATGCCCGCCTCCAGGACTTCTCCAGCGTGTCACCCATCCTCTGGAACTCCCTTCCCTAACCCATCAGATTATCACTAGAGATGAGCGAAGTATTCAAAAATTCGATTCGGCTGATTCGGCGAATTCGCGGAATAAATTCGATTCGAGTCGAATATATTCGCTGCGAATTTAACTTATAAAAAGGGTGTTTCTAGGCTTCAGAGAGCCTTTATATTAGTGCAGAACACTGTACCTTTAATTTAAATGCCCTTGGAGTCTGCTGGGGAAGAGAAATAATACTGTCAGTCAGTATGACATGCAGATGAGTGCCGTCGATCTTAAAATCACCGC